CCCCAAAACCCCAAAACCCCAAAACCCCAAAACCCCTCAAAAGGAAATTTAAATTGAAAATTTGCAATTTAAATAAAAATGGAACCTTCTTTAAGAAGCGCTCATGCTGTAGAATGGTTGAGAAAGAGATTTATGCATCCAAGTAAGACTTATGTACACTCTATATGACCAAATCCCTCTTAAAGGCTCAAATAAGCCTCTACCTCGCTCTAAAAGACCAAGACTTAGCTTCCTAATCTTCATTTTTCAACCTATTTGATTTTTACTCCTATCAAATTCGAAATAATACTCTATTCAAATCTTAAATTAAGAAATCTAATGTTTCTAAATCTGTGCTAAAAGACTATCTAGATCCTGAATTTTACAAATGTTTTAACTCAGGAAATACAAAGCAGCAAGACTCAGAACTGGGGAGATGATTAGCAAAAGTAGACACTGGAAGTTCAGGAAGTCTTTCCATCACGGAGATTCATTCCATGCTCAAAAGCATCGGTAGGATAACTTCATGCTGATTTTAGGTATTGGGATATCCCAGCAAGAGTGATTCGAGATCTTTCAAAGTTGGCATGCTACAAATTCTGATCATGGTGGAATTATACCAAAAGTAAGATCCAACTAATGCTTGGGTTTGGATGAGAGTTATTGGAGAATTTTGATGAAATTTAGTGCATTTTGGAAATTTACCGCAAATTATGAAATTTGAATTTGAAAATTACATATATTACTCTCATTTTATAGACTGATCTGAACAAAAGTGGATTAAATTTTGAACAATTTAAAGCCTTTATCATGTCTGAAGAAGGCACTAAAAAGCTCCAAGAAGTCTGCATATAAAAACCTCTATCACATCGCTCCCTATTCATCCAAATGTCCACCTAAAAGCTCCCAATTTTAGCTCTCACTCAGTACACCGCTCAAAATCTAAGTCAGCTCTCGGGGACATCTCCAAGAACCTAGAACAAGACCGGACCAGTGCACAGCTTGGAGGACAGGTGGAATTATGTGGAAGAATGGTGTGGCAGGGGCTCTAGTTTTGGGGTTACGGAGAGTTTAGATATTAGATGCTTTGAAATGGAGTGTTGATTTGTTTATACATTGAAAAATTTGCATTTCAGATTTTGAAGTTTTGTTTTACGACACTTATGCAGCTTTTGTGCGAATAATTTGGAAATTATAAACCTAGCCGAATTTATATAACAAACAGATTTTTTCTCAGTCAAACTCATTAAAATTATTTGAAAATTTCTAATACTTTCAACTTTCTTCAAAATCCTTCAAACTAACCTCATAGAAGTCCCACAATCCCCCTACCACCCTCTCAGGCTCACAACCCCATCCTAACCCCTCCTCCGCACCTCTCCAACCCCCCTGCCCCTCTAACCCCTTCAAATCCCACCCCCTTCGCCAATCGCAACGCCTCAAGATCCTATTCCACCAGGCAAAACAACGTGTAAAATCCTCCCACACATCTCTCAGGGTACCTTCCCTACTAAAACTCTAGACAAATCTAGGCACCCTTAAGAAACTGAGATTACTGAGCGGCCACAGAAGAGGTTAAGTACAATTCTAATAGAGTTTAGAGCAGGGAATTGGGGAATTTAAGCAGTGGAAAGTCAAGGAGGATAAGAAGTATGAGAGGAAGAGGAAGAGAGATAGACAGAGGGTTCAGACGATGATTGAGCAAGCGAAGGTAGTGGGGAGGAGGATGGTGGAGAAGGGGTGTAGCAGAGGGGGGAGTGGAAGTGTGATGGGTGAGAGACCAGGGTCTGTGAGGACAGTCAAGGTGAGGAGTAGGTGTAAGGCGTCGTTTGCTTTGAAGAAGACGGAGAGGCTTCTTAGGCAAAAATCTGCCCAAGGGGGAAAGAAGAAGTAAGATTGGGTTTATAAGGTCTATAGAGCTGTTTCTCAGACAAGAAGGTCTAATTCAATCAAAGAGAACACTCATATGCCATCAATAAAGGTTGATAACTCTCATATTAATCCAAGCATGATGGATAAATTGGAAGAATCATCGAAGCCCCGAGGATTGAGAACCAGTAGGACATTAATCTTTTCTATCTCTTCAAAACTTCAGGATTTAAAGCCCTTATCATTAGATTTTCTTTTATTCCCTATAAATAATCCCAATAAAGGCTGATTTTCATTTGTCTACATTCTAACTCTATTTGCTTGATAAAATCTTAATTTTTGCTAAAATTATTCAGGTAAAAACATATTGGTGAACAAAACTATTGAAGATTTCTGGACCAAAAATATAACCAAATTTGATACAAACAAGCCAATGAATCAGCCTGATGGAAATTCTAAAAGCAGAGGTAACTTCACAGGGTAGGTAACACTTTGCTGTGATTAGAGACCTCTTTATAGTGAATTTTATCCTTGGGATTTAGAGTAAAGTCTCAGTTTGCGTTCTAGCTTAGTTTTAAGAATTTTTATTCCTCATAAACATTTTAAACGCAATTTAATTTCATATAAATCTAACATATTTATAGATACAGTAAGCTTCTGAGCAATATTTTATAGAAAGCTTATTGCATAAACAAGAAAGAGCTGTAGAGAATAAGGAGAATATGCACCCGAATTCTTCTCTAATGAATAGGTACTTTTATAAGTAATTTTTAGGAAAAATCAAAAGAATTTAGTAAAGATGGCAAGTAATAGCATTCAATATAAGCAAAATCTACATGGAAGACCAGAGAACATCCAGGGCTTAAGGTAAATAAACCCATATCCAACTCTAAATCACCCAAATTGCTTGAATTTTCCAAATTAACTCCTCCTGAGTCTCTAACACCCATTATCCTCCCTAAAAGCTCTCCCCTCTAAAACTCTACATAGACCATACATTCCAGTCAACCCAGCCCAACCCAAAATCCTAAAAGTAATCCCAAACGCCACTAAGAAGAACTAAGAGGCCTAATAAAGCCACCAATAATCATTCGGCCAAGTAAACCTGCACATATTTCTCAATATTTACTCAGAATTCGGGGTTTTGGGGTTTTGGGGTTTTGGGGTTTTGGGG